GAGAAAATAACTGTAATTATTTTCCCGGACCATTACAAATTATTAAATAAAAAATCATATCTCAAAATGTAAACAATTAAACAAATTTTTACTATGTTACTTAAAAATCTAAATCTAAAATCGAATATTATCATGAGGAATGCAAATGTATGGACTATATAAAACTGAGATTACGCAATATAATTTATACAAAGCCGATACTTTAAACTAAACAAGATACCCCAAAACTGAAAAAAATTAACATAGACAAAAATATATTATTAAACAATTAAACAAATTAAGTAAATAATAAACAAATTAATAAGCTACGAATGCATACATAAATACTAGTAAATGTAATAATAATAATCACCAACAAATAATTAATTAATCAATAATAAATGATGAGTAAAAGGTTAACAAACAACACCGTAAAATAGCTACAAATAGCTGCATTAAGATCAACAATTATTTGTACTCAATAACTTCTAGAATGATTTATAATCATTGCCGTAATGACGCCTAATTAACTATTCAAAAGCATATATATAAATAGCCAAGCCAGAACACAACACACATGACCCGAAAATTGCTTTTAGTCATCTCTGTCAATATATATATATATATATATATATATATATATATATATATATATATATATATATTAATTATTTATTTAAAAATATCATTCCATCGCTACATAAGAGTTCTCATGTTTCAAAACAAGAGCCGAAAACTTCAATATAATTATTTGAATTAAATTGAATTAAAGTACCAAGCTCTGTGCCATCTTCAAGCGAAATTTTTTGGGGGATAACTAATTCCTGAAATTTACGCGTTTTATAAACATATTCATTATTAAAATTAAAATTACTATGGTAACGGCTAGAGCAATTATTTAAAGAAAAGGGGCGTAAGGGTTAATAATTTGTATCAATATCTCAGTTAAATGCAAAGAGGTCAAGTCAGGGTAAGGTTGGGGTGTCTGAATTTAAAGCGGAAGATGACATCGTCTAGTCTGGTTAAGTGTCTATGGAGATTTATTTATTTTATTATTATTATTTTTTTCTGAAAGGGTTTTGTGTATATAAAAAAAAACTGTCATAATTCGCTAACATTTGTCTTTTTGACGACTTCATAAGGGGTTATCTTTTTTTATTGGGTAGGGCATTTAAACTTTTTATTTAGATTATGGAGTTTAAAATTTGTATTTATTATTTTATTGTTTGTTTGTTTTTGTGCTAATTATTCAATGCGAAAATTTGATGATGTCGGCAAAACCCCGTTAATTCATGTCTATTGTTTAATATTTTTTTTTATTTAGAAACTTGATAATGTGTAGTTTTTCATGTAGGCATAAAGGGCATGGGTCATCCCAAGTTTTACAAGTTCTAGTTTTGTTTATAATTTTCTATTTTACTTTTGTTTTATTCATTTCCTTCAAATGCCAAAAATATTTAGATAGAGATGTCTGATTTCTTTTATTTATATTGTTGAAGGAGCACTTATGCTGCTTTCATCTAGTTTTAAATTCATTCTTTGTAGACCCAATGTATATCATATTAGTATTAATACTCTCAATAGATGAGATATATACATTGGTATACCACAGATTTTACGCGACATTTATTTTCCAATGGGAAGTCGTCTGGGTTTCTACAATCACATAATTTTTCACTATTTTTGTCTAATTTAAGTGTAGGGTTTTTAATAATATTATTCTGGCATGGGGGTTTATTCAAGATTTTATTATTGTGTTTTTTTATTATACTTTCTAGATTTTCAGTGGAACTGTAACTTAATTTTAGGGTGTTTTTATTAAAGATTTTACTAAGTCTACTATTAGTAGGAAATTGTATATATATATTCAGGCATATATTTTAAATAGAACAGTTTAACGAATGCCTGTCATGTTTTATCAGGATCCGTTCCATGCATCATATATTGGCTTTAATTTCAAGAGAAAATAAAAACAAAAACTGTCCAACACCTGTATATATATATATATATATATAATTTTGTGTGTGTGCTTTTCATCTTTCAGCTCACAGGAACAACGCAATAAAGAAATATAGAAACGTAGAACCTATATACGAAGTTTGGAACAGCTCCTGATAGAGATAATAGACATTCAATAATACACGTCTGAATAATGATCAATGCCCCTATACGATATATATATATATATATATATATATATATATATATATATATATATATATATATATATTAAAGACATTTTTATGTTTAAAGTTCTTTAATAAATAAATTGTCGGACTTTGTCCATTTCTTAATATATATATACATATATATATATATATATATATATATATATATATATATATATATATATATATATATATATATTCACACACAAACATATACCCAATAATTTTTTAATTTCATGCAAATAATTATACAGAAAACAGTTATGTATATGTGTGTGTATATATATGTCTATTTCTCTCTTTCTCTGTCTCTTCCTTTTACAAAACACAGATATATATATATATATATATATATATATATATATATATATATATATATATATATATAAACTTATTTTTCAGTATATTCATTAATATGAATTTAGATTACTGCGTATTCATATATATATATATATATATATATATATATATATATATATATATATACGTACGTGTGTGTGTGTGCATGTGTGTGTGTGTGTGTGTGTGTGTGTGTATTCTTATTATTATAAAGCTTTTCAGTGACTACACGTATTTATATTTTCTAAATCATGAAGCCCAACGAAAGAAGGGTAGCCACTCAAATACGTCACCACTAAAGAGAATCATTATATTAATAAGATATAATGTCGGATAGAAAATCCATTCAATATATTCATATATATATATATATATATATATATATATATATATATATATATATATATATATGTATATATTCACACAGGTGAATACACAATAATTTTAAAATTTTATGGAAAATTTAGAAAAACATGACGATAGATATATATATGTATATAATTACCAATGTATATATATATATATATATATATATATATACATATATATATATATATATATCGACGTGAGTTTTAAATATCTCTATAAATGTTATGCTATTGTGTATTCGTTTATACATAATTACATACACACAAATATATATATATATACATATATATATATATGTGTGTGTGTATGTGTGAACGCATATAGATAGACACACATATATATATATATTTATATAAATAATTATAATATCTGGTAATCCGTATGAAATTCAAAAAGTTTTATAAATCCAGAAAGTTCAATGTCAAAAATTATAATAGTCAAAACGAACACTTAAAATACAATCGTGATATGTATTTCATTAGAATCGAAGATTTGATCCCAATTCTTCAGATTGACTCTTACACACAAATATCTGTATGGTATTTTAAGTGTTCATTTTCACTATTATAATATATATATATATATATATATATATATATATATATATATATATATATATATATATATATTCATGAAACGAATAAACGATAACTTAGAAATTTATATAAATAATTATATAAAAAACAAGTACATAAATATGCATATACATACGTATACATACATACATACATATATATATATATATATATATATATATATATATATATATATATATATATGTATGTATTCTTTTTATATATTTATAGATGTGTTAAAGTTATTCTGTATACACCTGTTAGAATATATCTATGCATATATTTTGTATAAATATACATATAGAAGCCACCCCTCCATGTATATATATAAGCACTTTTATATGAGTATATTATTATATATGTATTCATATATGCGTGTGATAAAATAGCTGTATATAGACATATTGTGATATTTCTGACTAATGGTATAAATAGCTTTCTCAATCCTTTGGTCAAATGTCTATTCAAATTACGTTTGAAAGTTTGTTTTTTTTTTCTTTCAGTCTTCATGCTTCTGTTTCTACAAGTGTTTATTCTCCTTACAAAGAAGGGGTCGGTGCTTTTCTTGTCATCACAAATCTCAAATATGTCAGATTAACACCTGAGAGCTTCTATATATTTTTCTCTGAAAAAGCTTTTTTTTTTATTATTATTATTTCCTTGTCTTCTTCCACTCAGTTGATACATATTACCTAAACGTTCCATTAGTTGGTGTCAAGAAGTTTCCGGTCACGTGTTAACTATACTCTAACTTAGTTTCTGCATTCCGTGCCATTTGTTTTTCATTCTTGTCGACGAAAAAATGCTTTCTCGACTATTTTCTTTTTGTGTGCGCTGAAGGTATTGCATTTATTGTGAGACTATTCAGAAAAAAGCCATTTTGCTTTTGCTTCATAGCACTTCTCATAAGTAAGGCTACGAAAAATATAAAATGGTTTAACAAAATTCTACATTTTCCTTTTTTTCAATATTAAACGCCTGTTTTCACGCATTTATGGGTATCGTTGTGATCTGTTCGCCATTTTAAAGAGTTTTTTTTTAAATCTCGGTACACATCAATAGTTGCAGAGCAAATACACATATTATCTTAATGTATTTACTCAAGTTAGGTAAATAGGCTGCCATATGAAAATTCAGGGCTCTGGAGATTTTGAATAATAGTAACTTTAGAGATCTGAATTTCCTTTCTCTATCAGCTTTCTGTTCCTTCCGTAAATATATTTGTGTATTTTCTAGATTTTGTTAACTATCATTTCACCCCAAACAATGCAATAAAGCCACTAAGATGCGTTGGGATTACTGATTGTGAGAGAATATAAGAAAAAGGAGAGATAACTGTAAAAGTACAGGAAGTAAAAAGACATCGACAACAGTAGATACTGCCTTTAAAAATGTTGAAGATCAGTGTAGAAACCGAAACAAGATAATGGAAGAAAACTCCATAAGCGAGAAGTACGATAGAAGAAACTGTTATCATAGAACTTACGGTTACATCTATTTCAACTATCAAATGATGATAGCTTGCCGCCAATCTAGATGATACCATGCCGCTTAAATTAATTAATTCTAGGCAGCATTGGACTGGAAAGAAAGACGCCGGAAGAGAACTACGAGAGAAGAAACTGTTGGATGTGTGAGTTTCTCTCGCTCTATCTCTTTCTCTCTCTCTTACTCTCTCTTTCTCTTTATCTCTCTCTCTCTCTCTCTCTCTCTCTCTCTCTGTGCGTGTGTACATACTTTAGAGATTATGCTTTTCATTATACTAAGAAAACCCAGAATTCAATGAAGTCTTTTCATTCTTTGCTTGTAGACTTCTACTCGTCCGATTACTGTTTGGTTGTTTGTGGTTTTATGGCATATCAACCACTATGGGTTATTTAATGCCAAATCCAGTTTGCACATATATATTAAATATATATACTTTGTAAACATAATTTTAGGATATTTCAAGAACGTATAGCTGGCAACTTTATTTTTTCATAAAACGTATAGCTGGCAACGTTATTTTTTCAAAAAACGTATAGCTGGCAACATTATTTTTCCAAAAACGTATAGCTGGCAATTTTTTTTCCAAAAACGTATAGCTGGCAACATTATTTTTCCGAAAACATTATCCGAGGCCTTGATTTTGGACGTAGTTTATCGCCATACCCAGGATGCGGACGTAGTTTATCGCCATACCCAGGACGCGGATGTAGTTTATCGCCATACCCATCTACTCGTCCGAGTTGTCTGTCCTTCACTTTTTCACTTTATGATTCGAACTGTTAATTTGTAGAAGAAAATCCGAAGAGAATGCTCCTCTCACCATTATAATCTTAACCTCTTCAAGTCTAGAGTCAATCATTATCTAGCTTACATATCTTCATAACTTTCTGCTTCTTTTCCCCCCCCTCTCTTACAACAATCGCGATTATCAATCCTCTATATTGAGTGGCTCTTGGGCCTTGTATTGGGTGATCTAAAAGTAAAAACTAAATAAATTTTAGTAAATTTTGTCTGAATGATGTCCGAACACAAAAATATGCAAGCATACACAGACACATATACGCACGTAGGCACACATAAGCATTTACGAACATGCAGAAATACAACGTATTTCTAAGAAAACCTTGCGGAAAATCGATCGTTTAGCGTTTAGATTCATATGTGAAACCGGTATGCCAATCATTACAATATGATATTTACACAGTCTAAAGAAAACGTTGTTTACGTTCATTTCCGTATCACATATGTCGGTTGAAACAAAAGATAATTATTTGCGTCAAGAAAGAAACACTTTTTTCTCTAGGTAATGCACTTAACCCGTGCTTAATATGGGCGTGTGCCGTTTATGTATAGTGAGACTTTTGCATGTTATTTCCAAAAGACATCAAATCCAAATTCTTTGTTTCTGTTTATCATTATCAGATATTTTTTTAATGTACATAATAATTAGTTTTTTTTAAAATGAAGGAAATTACTTTCTGACATGTTAGGTATTAGTACCAGTTATTTCATCCGTTGCTTGGCACAACACAAAATCAATTAAGGCACTGCGCCGAAATCGTGGGTGGTCCCGTTAAACAACATTTCAAATGTTTCTTCTTCTTCTTCTTCTTCTTCTTCTTCTTCTTCTTCTTCTTCTTCTTCTTCTTCGCCATCACCTTTTTTTTGCATCACGTCTATTAAGGACGTTGGTGATCATAGATCTCCACAGTTTCCTGTCTTTTGTTGCTATAAATAACTTTTGAGCGTCTACCTGCCCTCTTTGCTCTTGCTCTGACAGTTCGCTCAAACTCGTTAACTGTTCCCTTTACTTGCCATCATTATGTCCTGTGTGTGTGTTGAATTCTCTGAGCCCTCTTTCCTCATAATGCGTCCCAGAAATATCAACTGTCTTATTTCTAGTAGTAAAAATCAGTTTCCTTGTATGAGTTTAAGTCATAAATAATTTCTGTTTTGGTTTCTCGACTTTATTCTTCCAAAACTTAATATTACATTTTATTGAATTATATGTTCAAAATTATTTGCAATGACTAGTCGTTTATCAAACAGCTTTTCGATGCCTTTACGTAAAATTCCACAGATTTCAATGTGAAAAAAATGTTTTCGACGAACTCTTGAATGTGGTTTTCATTATAGCCAGTTTCCACTACCAAAGCGTTTTGTAACGATCGAAAAATGTAATAATAATCGATTAACGCGATGTTATGCGAATACAGTGGGTTGGGTAGAATATACCAACAGATTTTTTTTTCTGTGTTATTCTTCTTGTATGTAGTCTTGCATTGTCATAGGTGAGAACAAGATTTCTCTTTTAATCTACTGCCGCGCGAAAAATAAGGTCTATTAGTGTATTTATTAAATTTATTCTTAACTGCCACGTATGATGAGTAGTTAGGATGATTTATTCGCAATTACAACTGGTTCTCTTGTGGGTGGTTTCTCATATAAAAGCAGCAGAAATTAGCCTTGTGTTCGCTGAGATAAAAACATGCTTTACAGGAAATAAAATGTACAGAAATAACAGGAAAGCCTGGTATATTGTATGTTAATTTCATACAATTTATTTATTTTATATGTGAACTTGTGTGCATATTTTTGGTTGTAAATGTTTCATGGTACATGTAATGAGAGGAAGAATTTACTTCGTATTATTACATGCCATGTTACAGAGAGAAGTTGGACACGTGTTGACTGTCCGACGGTTCGTGGTGAACAAATTGATTTTAACGTCTTTCGACGGGATCTCCGTATTTCCGGTAGGAATAGTTTCTGCTGCATGCTGGGAGTATTTTTGTTATTTTTATTTTTTATTTGATTTATTTTAAACAAAGTTTAAATGTTATTGTTTTATTTTATTTTATTTATGATTTTCATTATTATTATTATTATTATTATTATTATTTTATTTTTATTTATTTACAATAATGACGTCCCTACACTCCAAAACGAAAATTACTTATGACTGAACCTAAATATTTCTGTTTCCTTTAAAACTTACTTGTTACTCAAATGTTATCCCGTAGTATTCTCAGGATTTGTGGTTAAACCACATCACTGTCGCTTCAAGTTTCTATTTCATCTGTGAGGAAATGTTCCAGTATATCCTGCCATATAGGAGATTAGATACTGCATACGAGTTTCAAATGCTAGAAAATGTCTTCCTCGACAAATCGCATCACAGACAAACATTTACTTGTTAAAAGTAATTTACAGTTATTTTTTTTATAAATGACAAGAAATATAATGGATAAACAGGCCGCCCTCTTAAGATAAAATTTTTAAAAAATAGAAAAAAAATTCAGGCATGGCTGACCATGTATGGAGGGAAAAGGGAGATCACCGCCCTCTGTAGTATAGAGTTGAAATAATAGGCGAGAACATTACTGGAAAATACGAAAACTTAAGAAATCAGCGCATATTCTTGACTACAAAAATCTCCTAAGCCGGCCAAGTATAATACAATATGAGAATCAGTTACAGAGAGAGCTAGAAAAAATCAACAATAACAATTTTTTTTAATATGAGCTCCGTTAAAAAATGAGTGAGGTATTGGATTTATAACTCAAAAAAATTCAAATACACATGGTCCAATGGATAAAAAGCGTTGGCTGAGTCGTCTGAAAGTTACTCAACACCAAGAATTGTGATTTCAATAGCTGGCCACAGCAGAAGGAACAAAAACTTGAAGAGTTGGGTTACCAAGGGGAATTATCTGAAACTTAGATACCCAGAGGCTTAGAATTAGAATAAACTGTCCCCGTGGACTAAATTTCGGTTCGAATTTTCAACTAACACCTGAAATAGGCAGGAGCGTACAATGGCCGAATAAAGATGAGGACAACAATTCGGTCAAAGTAAATACTGTAAATCGTTACAATACCTCATCTCAGTAATATAGACAGAAGTATTTCTTTCATCTTAATTTCAATCATTTTCCACTGCAACTGCTCATGTCGTAATCCTACGAAAGCTAGTAAACAGTGCGGATTGGAAATAAAGAACTCGTGACAAGGTTCGAAATCGCATCATTTTTGCTTATTTTTCTTTTACTCGTGACTTCAGAATGATAGTCGGAGTAGTTGAGAGTAAATGAAGCAGAAATTAGGAAGAAAGAAATCATTATCATTATAATTTATATAACCGGTTGTGGTCGTAGGGTCGCTTCGTAGCTGAGCACCTGACCATATATGTCGGTAGATCATCATTCATGCGTAAAGAGTTTTGGGTAAAATAAAACCTGACCGAACACATCCCTCTCCAGGTCGATGCAAGAAAAACTAGCTAAAATAAATAATGGTTTACAATATTTCATCTAATTAAAATTCAATATATTAATGACTTTATTCCTGTTACAAAAAGGATCGGGTTATACCAAACAATCCTTGTACTAATTACGTATTTCTAACGGTAAAAGAGACAAAAGAAAATTTTAAAATATATTTTAAGAATATTAGTTAAACATACTTAATCGTTTATTTTTTTTAATACTGAAATTATATCAATACAAGGCACAAGAGCCTCTCATGATAGAAGTTTACGGAATCAAGTGTGAGATATGAACATAAGAAGAGGTAGATGGAAGTGAAGATTATGCGGACAAGGAAGACAGGAATTTGAGATAATAGTGTTGATGGATGCATCCTCGCGGGTGTTTGTTCCTGGGGAATAGTTCGAGGGAAAATATATTTGAATGGAACTTCCTCTTTATAATTGGAATACGGATGAAAAGTTGATGATTCGACTCCATGGAGGTAGCATGGCGTGTCTTAGCTGTAAATGTCTGAACTGGTGGAACTAAAGCGCGAACCTTATCTCAATATTTTGCTATGAAAACAGTGATCGAGAATTGCGAAGTCCGTAAAAAAGAGGCTATATCGTGGAACATTAATCATCTTTACAGTTGACGCATGTAAAGGCAGAGCCTACTAGAAAGAGCCATATAGTTTCTGTAGCATCTAGTTTTACATCATCTTTAGCTATGGATCGTATATATAACTTCCACTTGAGGTGTGGGTTGCACTTTCGTTCTAATAGTTGCTCAAGGCAGGAATCTTCATTAAGGCTACAACCGTTCATCATGACAACGGAAAATTCAGGGGTTGGTCGGTTGTGACGGAATGTTTTAAACTTATTTTGCGAGGTACTGAATGGTACAATCCTGTTTTTTCCCCATTGAACTGTTAGAGTTGTGTCAAAGAGATCAGCTGTCAGGCACTTGCACCACAAAGCTACAAATT